TAAGAACACGTGACGCGTCCCGGCGTGTTTTCACAACACGCTAAGAAAAAGCTAAGAACATGTGACGCGTCCTGGCGTGTTTTCACAACACGCTAAGAACACGCTAAGAACACGCTAAGAACACGCGACGCGTCCCGGCGTGTTTTCACAACACGCTAAGAACACGCTAAGAACACGCGATCCGTCCTGGCGTGTTTTCACAACACGCTAAGAACATGTGACGCGTCCCGGCGTGTTTCCACAACACGCTAAGAACACGCGACGCGTCTCATCGTGTTTTCACAACACACTAAGAACACGCTAAGAACACGCTAAGAACACGCGATCCGTCCTGGCGTGTTTTCACAAGACGCTAAGAACACGCTAAGAACACGCTGAAAACACGCGACGCGTCCCGGCGTGTTTTCACAACACGCTAAGAACATGCTAAGATCACGCTAAGAACACGCGACACGTCCCGGCATGTTTTCACAACACGCTAAGAACACGCTAAGAACACGTGACGCGTCCTGGCGTGTTCACAACACGCTAAGAACACGCTAAGAACACGCTAAGAACACGTGACGCGTCCCGGCGTGTTTTCACAACACGCTAAGAACACGCTAAGATCACGCTAAGAACACGCGACGCGTCCCGGCGTGTTTTCACAACACGCTAAGAACACGCTAAGAACATGTGACGCGTCCCGGCGTGTTTTCACAACACGCTAAGAACACGCTAAGAACACGCTAAGAACACGCGACGCGTCCTGGCGTGTTTTCACAACACGCTAAGAACACCCTAAGAACACCCTAAGAACACGCTAAGAACACGCTAAGAACACGCGATCCGTCCTGGTGTGTTTTCACAACACGCTAAGAACATGTGACGCGTCCCGGCGTGTTTTCACAACACGCTAAGAACACGCTAAGAACACGCGACGCGTCCCGGCGTGTTTTCACAACACGCTAAGAACACGCTAAGAACACGCAAAGAACACGTGACGCGTCCCGGCGTGTTTTCACAACACGCTAAGAACACGCTAAGAACACGCGACGCGTCCCGGCGTGTTTTCACAACACGCTAAGAACATGCTAAGAACACGCTAAGAACACGCGACGCGTCCGGCGTGTTTTCGCAACATGCTAAGAAAAATGACATGTCAAGAACATTCTAACGTCACGCTAAGAACAGGTGAAAGTCATGTTTACAAAAATATATTTTTATATGATTTTTGCATGTTCTTAGCATGACCTTAACATTTTATTAGCATGATCTTGGCATGTTATTGTGAACATGTTAATGTCATGCTGAGAACATGTGAAAAATCATTCTTACAAAAAGTGAAATTACTGTTTTTAGTATGACATTAGCATGTTTTAGCATGATTTTCACATGTTCTTAGCGTGACATTAGTATTTTCTTGGCATGTTATTTTGAACATGCTAACATCATGCTAAGAACATGTGACAACACGCTAAGAACACGCTGACATGTTCACACACGTCCCACAGACACACACACTTGCACCACATCACCCCCC